AACTTTAACGTTATAACTATGTTCTCTCGAACATAGTTAAAAATAGCAGCTGTAGATAAACTTACCTAAAGTTGCTGTAGAAATACTTTTCCCTATATATATATATGGATTTATATTTCTGCAGCTGCTGTACGTACACCAATCAAATACTTGCCATATATATACTCGAAAACATTAAATGCGAAGAATCATAACCATACATCTGTCGTTGTTGCTATACGTAAAGCGGCTGCAGCAATGATTTTACCATATATATATATATATATAGAGAGAGAGAGAGTTAAAAAGGCAACATCATATACACAGAATAAACATTCTTCTTATTTTATTTCCTCCTCCTGAATAGTTTATATATAAGATGGTATAACAAACATATCATAAGAATAGACAACTATCTACAAAATACTAACAATCAGATCTTATTCTTATCTAATAAAACAATATTTACTAACATTCAGATCACATTTAGACTAGCCTATTCTTATCTAATAAAAACAATATTTTAAATTCAAAACTTCTTTTCAACACTCCCTTTCAAGTTGGTGCGTGAATGTTTATCATGCCCAACTTGCCAATCAAATCTTCAAAGACTTTCCCTGACACAGCTTTAGTTAACACATCTGCAAGTTGATCTTCAGACTTAAACCTAATCAATATCGGGTTGAGACTCGAGTTATGAAACTTTAAAATCGAGAAACCTAATCCAGCTTGAGGTATGTGTGCGAAAAATATTTTCGATACTAAGGATGTATCGACCACTCGGTACATCCTTTATCAAATATGAAAAAAATAATATAATTTTATTATCTTTACCTTTATAGTTATTTTCTTCCATATCCCTTTTTTTCAATTTTTAGTAAGAGAGTACCTAATCTCGTTGCACCAAAAATCTACTTATATGTGAGAAGCTGTGATTGTGATTCGAGGGATTCATTAAATGATTATTCTGAAATCCTACTACGACATCTCCCAAGCAATGTTTATCAAAATCAAGTTTTTACGTAGAAATGGAAGGGGATAGTAGAAACGTAAATCGTAAAAACGACACGGAACATAAAGTTTTTATATATTTTTTACACACACATATATATCAGGTAAGATCCTTTAACACCAGTGTCAAATTTAAAATTTGACACCTCATCTGAGAGCCGTTAGATCAAAAAAGATTAATGGTGTCACATGTTTACAAATCTGAGTCATTGATCTTTTTTGATCTAATGGCTTTCAAATGAGATAGATGAGGTGTAAAATTTCAAATTTGACATTGGTGTCAAAGGATCTTATCTCTCTCTCTCTCTCTCTATATATATATATATATATATATATATATATATATATATTAATATATCACATTAACACTACTCAAAATTCAATGAATAACTTTATATTTAAACGATATGAGTCATATAACTATATAAATCATAAGTCAAAAAACACAAAAACAGTTTAACAACTCCTACAACCAAGTTTCAAGACATCAAAATCATAAAGTTTAACAACTGCTAAATTATATCAATTGATTCAAATCAAACACATCATCTTGCATCAGTTGCATGTCCTCAAAATAACATCGGGTTCATGGGTCAAAAGTTATTACCCGATTCAACATTTGGGTCTAAGTAAAAGCGAGAAAAAAAGTTGGTATCTACATTCTTGCTCATTTCATTGGAGCATTGCCCATAAATAGGCTGCTGAATTGCAAATTATAAATCAATTTGAATTGGCGAGAACCTGTAACCAACTCATAATATTTATCTCCTAACAAAACGCAATCAGCTCTTATATGCTTTAAGTTATATTAAATTCTAAATGAAATAGCAACTAAAAATATGCACAAATCTTATGTGCTCTAAATTGCATTAAATTCTAAATCAAAACACAATCAACAAATCCTATTTGCTCTAAGTTATATTAAATTCTAAATTAAACAACAGCTAACATAACAGACATAAAATATGTAACAACAACAACCTCTAGTAAAACGTAAAAACTTGCATTTCTACCATTTTTACGTGGTATTTTTACCTGCTTTTACTAAAAAGCATTTTTACTTATGTTTTTGACACGTATGACTTCAATAAAAAAGTAAAAATATACGTTTTTACGTTTTTAGTCGCGTTTTTGACAACAATGCTCCCAAGTCTCAAATGGAAAAATTCTCTAATTAGATTTAAGTTGGCAGCTGAAAACAACAAGAGAACATTGTATATTGAACATGCTCTACTTCTCGTTCTCTAGCATTCCTCTTTATCCTTCTTTAGCCAATTAATTTTATTTTTTATAACGACCTTAATTATCTATTTAAGATGAGTTGACTCCAAATTTAATATCAAGTTGAAGCTTAATTATTATTAAAGCTTTTTGTGCCTCCCATAACTATATTTGGTGAGAATGGAATACAGATTCTCTCTCCACCTATTCATCCCGTGTTGCCAAGAGGGCTACAACTATTGGTATTAATTTACTTTGTGCTTCACACGGGCATATCATATGTATTGCAATAAACAAGCAATTAAAACGCCATTACTATGCTGTAACATAACAGTAGTAACAATGTAATTAAATAATTAAGCAATGATTTCTAAGTGGGAATTAGTCTTCCGCTATTGATTATAGACATCTTGAGGAAACTCAAAAAAGAAAATAATTAAGCAAGATTATATCCATGAATCCAAAACGCATAGTGAAAGGTACCATTCATGAAGTCACATAAGAATGAGCAATTATGTAATCTCCATTTCACCCTGGATTCTAAAACTGAAGTGAAAATTAAAATGCCTCGTCTGAATTTCTTTTGAAAATTCATTGTTTTTTAATCCCCTCCCCCATATTACTGTTATCCCCCCGTGATGAACGCAAGATTGCATCCTACATTCCGCTCCTCTCTATCTATCTATTTATTTATTGTTTTTTTGGGGCTTGAACCATTTGTGGCACTGGTTATGAGAAAAAAAAAGTTTACCGATTAAATTAATGAGTTTTATAAGAGTTATGTTGTAGGAAAAATGATTGTGTAATGTTATAGAGATTTGTTTTGCGTGCCGTAATTTTCTTTTTTTCTTCAAAAAGTGTGGACCCCACAAAATGTTGTGTGTGTAGGAAAGTTTGTTGTGTCATGTTAAATGACAAATGCAAACCTCTAAATTAATTGAAACCTTATGCCAAAAACTCTATTTTAACTTAGGGTTTTGCAAATGTCCTGTAACAGGAAGATTCATATATCATGTCACTGAAATAAGTTTTTGTGGGACCCGCTAAATAATAAAATAAATAAATAAATAAAAAACATTGCACGGAAACCAATCTGAGTGCAGGAGCTAAACAAAATTTCCTGTAACATAACTTTTGGTTTTCCCTTTAACTTATATCTTTTTCTTAAAAAGATAAATAGAAACGAAAAATTGAACATGACTACATAACTTTGAACCCTTAAAAAGAAGAAGAAGATAACTTAGCATTATTTTCCCCGCTTAAATCAACAATTCGATGATTGTGTCGTCTACAACATTATTATGTATGGTGGCAAACACGGTAAGCAGTCAAGTAATTAATTCAAAGTTTCAATTAAAAAATCAATTTGACATAATAATTATGATACTTAGAAACTAAAAAATACCCAAAAGCTATTTAGTTTATTTCAATTATTTATTTTAAATCAAAATAGCATCTCAATTATTAGTTTTCAGAGTAAATACCTTGGTCCTCAGCAAACTTCACGATGCCTGTTTTAGTCCCTAGCAAATAAAAAAACCTATCGTGATTCCTAAAAAATTCAAAATGTACCTATTTTTGTCCTTTTAGGGACTAATTGTGAGTCTTTTTTGAATTTGTGAGGGACCACGATTTCAACTGAAAGGATCCATTTTGAATTTCTTAAGGATTACGATCGGTCTTTTTATTTATTAGGGACTAAAACGGATATCGTGAAATTTGTTGAGGATCAAAAATAGTATTTATTCTAGTTTTTATTCCCAATTATGATTAATGTCCCAAAGAAAACCATAATTTAAAACTTCTCACATCCCAAAGAACCGAGTTGCCAAGTGATCATTGGAAATATTTATTGTGTTGGATTGTTGTCTTTTCTGGGGTACACCTACTCCAGATGGCTCAAATTGATTGTGATTTTTGCGGGGTGGGCTTTCAATTTAAGCCCCTTCGTACGTTGTTTTTGGAAAACAATTACATCTTGAATGACAATCGTAGCTACTTGCTGCCTACAGCTATAAGACATTAACTTTTTCTCCATGAGGACCACGACCAATATACAGAATTACAAATTAAACATCCGACAGCAAGTTTGATTTGCGTGCAACACATATTTGAACTTACAACAACCTAAGAACTATTTTAATAGGCGAAGATTATGAATATCTTTTCCAAATACCGAAATAACTTTAAAGCAGAAGACTAACCCTTTTCATAAAATAAACACACAAGTAGAATACAAACAGAGCACATCAGAATTGTCGTTCTATTATCTAGAACTGTCCAATATATTATACATCGCATGTTATATTCTTGTTAAAATTTAAGCTAACCAATATACTTGTAGTTTGTTTTATAATTATTTATGCTCTTATGATTTTTTTTATCACATATATTTTTATGATTTGTAAAAAATAAAAAATTATAAAATATGTGATAAAAAATATATCTTTTTACAAATTACAGAGATATACATGATAAAAAAAAATCACAAGAATATAAGTGATTTTGAAATAAACTTTTCCCAAAATTCTAACACCTTTTACATTAAGATAGCACGACATCATGGAACTTGCTCACGTTCTTATGGTTTTCAATCACATTGGACAATCAAAGCCACAACAACAACTGAGAATTGGAGCTCGTCCTCGTCATTAGTGACTGTAGCAAAGCTTAGCCACAGAAATAACACCTTCACTTCAACTCCTTTTAAACTGGAATTGAAGGACCTCATACCCACTTAAGGTGGGGTTCTCAACAGGAAGAGGATTGAGCATAGAATTGGTTTTGGTTAGTTGAAGCTGGTGATGGTGGGTGGGTGAGTGATGAAGATTAGTGGTGGACGCGTGGAAAGAGCAAAAATGATGCTCCCTTTTCACAGAGTTCTCAGTCTCAATTTTGTTTTGGTGAAGAATGAAGATGTGTCTATCATTCATTCTCCCTCTGGATCTTAAATCTAAATCAAACTGTACCTACAATCTTGAACTTGAGGATAGGACACACCTGCTATGGTATGGTGTGCTCTTTAATTAAAGGATCACACAGTGAAATTATGCTAAGCATCAACTATGTTGATCTGATCTGGATTTTGATGTGTCATAAATAAATAAAAACAAAGGGTAATTCATATCGGCTGAATGATTGTCTTTAACGTTTAAAAATTTCATACGAAACAAATCATATCATAATTGATAATTAAAAAACATAATAACAGAAAGATAGATCTGTATTCAGTCTCATAATCTGTTCCCCAAATTGAAGCGCAAAAACAAATCTAAATAGAAGAAACATCACCTTTTATCTGGAAATTATTGCAGTGGAATCCACATCCACACTGAGGGCTCTCGGAAAAGCTGTTGACGCTAAAATCAGCGGAAACGAGACCAAGAACAGAGAATTCGATTTCATCACCTTGGCGAGTGACCTCCATGATTCTGAGCCACAACACTTCAATCCTGACAGTAATACCCTTCAGCTTGGCCAGGCTTCCTTTCGAGATAACTCCACTGATGGTTGTCTTGTACTTCAGCTCGTATGAACGTATTTTGAAGATGCACGTGTCATTCAAATACGCTTTGAACTTCCCACTCCTTTCGTTTAGCTCATACCCTGTCACCCCTTTTGGTAGAAGACCCACTGGCAAATCATATTGCTCAAGAATGTCGTAGGCTGATAAGTTTTCTTGTTCCCCCCTTAACGCGTGTGCATATGTTGCACACGCCACAACAGAAAGAAATAGAATTAAAGACCTCATCGACACTTTTGTTTGATGCATATAAACACTCTCCTCCTCAAGACTTGGCTAGAGATTTGCGTTGACCCGTTTTTGCAGGTGAAATGGAGATACAGTGTTTCTTAATTTGTTAGGCTATGCGATAGAAAATAGAGAGACACAAAATCGGTAAGATCTATATAGAACCTTTTGTCCTTTTATATTGTTAATATTTCTAAGAGTAAATACTTTTTTGGTTCTGATAATATATACAAATTTTTTTTAGTCTCTGGCAATAAAAAATGATCAGATTGATTTTTAAAATTATGAAAAAAGAGCCACATTAGTTTTTATGTCAACTCCTCCGTCACTAACGTAGCCCTTTTTACATAGTGTTAGGGACCAATTTAGTCCTTTTTTATTACCAGGAACTAAAAAGGATTCGTAGATATTGCTAAAGACCAAAAAAGATGTTTATTATATTTCTAATAATGCGTGCAACTCGCGTAGCACGTGCAAAGCTTTTCGGAGCTACCATTGATGCTAAAATGGATTTGTCTTGTCTATGCGAGAAAGAGGAGCAAGTATTAAAATTCTTATATTTACCAAAATAAAGGATAATAATAAATAAATAAATAAAAGTCATTTAAGTTGATAGCAACAACTATCATTAATGCTCTTAAAGAATTCGTTGGAAGAAGGGAATCTGGAATAAGTCGTTTAAGCATCTTCTATGGATACCGATGCATGTTGGAGTCAAAATGACTTGCTGATAGAAGTTGTTGTCATTGAAATTGCAAATTCTCGTAGAGGTCCACGTCCATCTGGAGGAGAGTGAGCCCGAGCTGAGTGATATCACAAATGTGCCATGGATGATCCAATTATGTGGTTCAGCCCGAAACTAGCTACGAGTAAACTAGACAGAGGAAAAGTGCGACGTCATGCATTTGGATCGTTTTATGTGAAATAGTGATTATGTGATCATGTTATTTGATTATAAATACTTATTAAAGAGAAAATTGTATGATTCACACGAGAAAATTCAAATCCGCGAGCTCATTGAAACAGCGCTCAATACATTGGAAACCTACTAGACAATTACTGAGGCGATGACAAGGATATAAATTGAGGACTATGTTGCCGCAAATTTAAGACAACTACATAATTTATGGATTTCATCTCCCGTCTTGTATTTAGTTCCCTTGCTAGTTAAAATAATTTTTCTAAAGATTTTTTTTTTGTAAACAAAAAAAAAACTAACTTTTCCCGTGGATAATTTAGTTTATTTTGATTATTTTTCTTAATTCTATATTTGAAAACATAGATAACTATAGACTGTTAAGTGTCAAGAGCTAATTATTATTATTTTCAACTCTCTTGTGGGTAATTAGTAAATTTAAATTAATATTTTAATCAAATGAATAATTCTTATAATTTTAAGTATGAGTTATACAATAATGTTTAATATCTCTGTAGTATAGGATTGAATAGTTCATACTCTGGTAAATAATTTATGTCATATTTAACCAACCTATCTTACTTTAGATGAATTATGTTAATAATTAAATTGCAATATATATATATATATATATATTAATTATGATAAGATCTTATGGCCATAGATATTTCGTAGAATTTTTTTCTTTTTGGGTATGCATTTCATAGAACTAAATATATTCTAAAATTCAAATTAAATATATCCATGCATGGTTACCAGTGAATATAATTTACAGATTTTGTTTTCTGATTAGTTTTGCTTTTATTCTGAGTCATGCAGTTTAGATTAATTATTTAATTTAATTGTTAGTTTACTAATTAATTTAATTTTTAAGTTAATTGGAAAAATTCATATTCTTTTATTTTTGTAAATTAATTGTGAGTATGACATTTTTATATTTGCTTAATATTATATTAACTTTAAACACTTGTAAGTAATGATTACTTTTATTATCTAAAAAATTTAAGGGTTTAGTGTTTGTCATTTTAAATAACATAAGTTATGTCATTTTAGAAGAGAGATAGACACAAGGAAGAAAATCATGAATGTTTTTTCTTTTGATTTGTAATTTCCGTACGATTGCTGTAATTTGATTTGTTTGGGGTTGTTTTTTGCCTTCAGACTACAAAATAAAAATAAAAATGATAGAGCTATTTACTCAACGTCTCTCATCATGACTTGTGTGGTTTTTATAAGGGACTATCTTGCAGTATCAAGCCTTGGCGAACCAGTTTTGGTTCGGGTAACTTGGGTCAGTCAGGTCATGGAATTGGATTAGGCCAGGCCCATAATAAGTTGGTTTTGGTATCAACGATTGATAGGGTTGGATCCCGAGCATTGTCGTTGCCTAGGTCAGGTTCGTGGAGCCAACATGGTTGAATGTTGGGCCCAAATGACGGAGCAGTATTGTTATAATTACTCTCTCATCATTTCCATTTTGGAGCAAATCCCCAATCAGGAAGTTCATGCTCTTTTTTTTTTTTGGTAATAATGGCAGGCCTAGCCCAGAACTATATTGAAAGCTGATGCATGCTAAAAGATGCATGCTCCATCAGCAAGTAATTACAAGTGTCTCTCCAAAAAGAAAAAATATTCATAGGGGGAGAAGAATACAGCTTCAACTCTCCACCCCTACCATTAAAGCCTAATAAGGCAAGACTATCAGCATAAAAATTAAATTCCCTAGGAACAAATTCAAAGTGAACCTGATCTAAGGACTGGACAATTTTCCTAATTCGTCTTACTAACAAGGAGCAATCATCCGAATTAGAAGGGAAGCTAACACATGAAAGTGCTTCCTTACTATCACTACCTACCCATATCTTTTGGAAATTCAACTCTTCAGCCAACTTAAGACCCTGCCAGATGCCCTGTAATTCAGCTTCCAAGGTAGAACAAGTCCCTAAATTGAGAGAGAAACCATTAAACCAGTCCCCATTCGAGCCACATAAAACCCCTCCACAGGTACCAACTTTGCTATTCAGATTGACCGCACCATCAACAAATAATTTTAAAACCTCCTTTTGGTCAAAATGATTGAGCCCAGGCTGAACAACAGGGACTTCAAGCTTCTGAGAGAAAGGTTCATCAGAACAACTCCTTTTCATTTCTCTCAAATAATGCAGAATCATGCTCTTTTTTACTTTTAAATTCCTTAGTAGTTATACGTATGGAAATTATTTGTATGATATAACAAGTTGGTCATAGAGAAACAAAGGCAACTTTGGTTGTAGGAATATTATGATTCTTATCTTCTTTTTTTTTTGTATAACATAAGAGAGGGTTATATTTACAAACTTTTTTGTTTACAAACTACACTATCTTCTCCCCGGAGAACTTGGTGTATTTGTAAAAAAAATTATAAATGGATCCTTCCCCTATAACATTATGATTCTTATCTTGTTTAGTCACATAAGTGAAAATCCATAGTTACTGTCAACTGACTGTGTGTCAGTATATTACCTTACTGGACACCTTAAGGGGGTGTTTGTTTCAGGTTTTTGTAGAATTTACCCATACATCTGATTGTGACTTTTTTGGATTTCCTTGTTTGGTTAAAGTTTTTGGAAATTTTTCCCATGCATCGATGTTGCCTAGCCATTTACATTTGTGTGTAAAAATGGGAAAAAACACGGTTGAGAAAGACCCTTTGCAGGATGGTATTTCAAGTTCCCTATGTTAATGGAAGAAAGGGGACTATTTACATGCCAAAAATACACTGTAGCACAAAAGTGAGATCTGTTGAGCACCAAATCGAGTTGTACGTGATTTTTCGTAATTTCAAGTTATTTTTCCATCAATTTTTTACTTCTAAACAAACATAGACTCGGTAAATTTAACTAAATTTTCTTGGTAAATTTTTTCCAACCAAATAATTTTTTTTACATTTTCCTACCAAACTCAATTTCCAACCATTTTCTTAGTAATTACATTTTCCTAGTATTCAAAAATTTTCTCCTCAACCAAACGCTCCTTAAGAGAACACGTCAAGGTCATCTAAAAGTAACATAAAAACCATCTACCAAAAGAAAAACATAAAAACCAAGAAGGATCTATAAGAGAGTTATTATGAGATGCATTAGAGTGAGAGGTACTAAAGATTGGATCTCACCAAATTACTGGTTTGGTGTTAGGGCTGAACTTCTTGGAGAATCCTACAGATCTCAAACAGAATAATCTCCCATCTTATCTCCAGCCAGCAGAGATATTCTGGAAGACCTCAACCTTAATCAATTTCATATTCTATTCCTCTCTCCATGAATTAGTAAAAATGTAAAATAGACAAATAGTTCAAATGAGTAACATTCACTGTCAGAAAATTTTGATAGATGGCCTTCCTTGACATGCAGGAAGGATTGTACCCATGACAAAAATGAAAGATAGGAGGCAAACATACAACATTTCAGCTCCCAAGCCCTATGTAGATAGATACATAGATACGTGGAAATGCAATTCTCACAAAACTCCAAGCATGGTTGTAAGATAACAATCTAGATTCTGGAACATATGACTTTTTTCCTATTAGATGTAGGGATCACACCATCCTCGATCCTTAGACCCTCGTACAATTCTAAGTAGGACCTATGTTGGGTAGTAAAATTCGAAGATTAAGATCATTCTCTAGGAACAGTTTGTTTAGTTTCTTTTCTTGGTTCTATTCTTAAATTCTTAAATTTTAAGTAATCAATCTTTCAAACAAAGAAAAGACTAAATGAATTGAAATTATATTTAGATTTGTATTTAACAGAAGTAGCAGAAATATCTAATTAACAAATGCAACCATTGTAAGGTACTGAAATTCTTGAATCATGGATTTTCCAGAGAATTTCGCATCACTACGTTTTACCACTGCTATGAAACTTTAATCACAGAATTTGAACTGCTGGCTATTTTAACTAGAACTTCCCAGTTCCAGATTTGTTCCTCAAAAGAAACCTTTCCCAAGGTCTTTTAAATCTTCAATAGTGATTTCAAAAACCTCCTTGGGTTATCCCTAACCTCAAGGGTTTAATTAGCAAAAGAACATAACCTGATTTCCCGATCACAATTATGCTAGAAATGTTCCAAGATCCATTCCCATGGTTTTCTTGAAATTTTAAATCAGAATCTTGCTAATCAAATGAGATTAAAGAACACATCACATTGTTCAAAAATATAAAGAATCACCCAATCATCTTGAATCCCAAATAAATAATTTAGCAACCCATATTAACAAAGAACAAACTAAAGATTGTGAAATACTTCTACCAAAATTAACAAAATAAGAAGGACAAAAGTAAAGGTACAGACCAATTATCCAGAATTAACAAAGGTTCTAAAAGCTATAACTAATCATAAAGTGCAGATTCAAGCTTGCATGCAGCTAGGTCCTTGATTCCTTCCCACGAAGCTTTGTTGTCAGCATTCTTCGAAGTCAAGAATTGGAAGAACATATGCACTCAACTTTCAAAAAATTGAAAAAAAAAACTTTATGAAAAATCTAACTTCTTTTTTTTACAGCCAACTCTATCTTACGAAAAACTAATAATATGTATTTAACTAAAAAAACTAAAATAGATCCAACATGCAGTGCTGTCCGTCCAATTAAGCTTTATCCAAGGTTCAGACTTGTTCCAGCTCACAGTTCATCCACGTAGCTTTCCCTATTTTTTTACAGTAAAATAGAAAGAAACGTGTAATAACCTACAACCACTTTTCTTTTTACCTTCTTTTTTACTTGGGCCATTTTAATTCTCTTTTGGCCCATTTACCTGCAATATCAACTGTTTACAGCCCAAATGTTATCAAAATTAACCCATTCATATCAGTAAAATACATGACTAACAACCTACAATCATAACAACACAAGTGGAAAAGTAACCTCATTCCAATTTCACGACCTAAGGGCTAAGGTAATCAATCAGGTCTTAGAAAGCTCAAAGCGCGGATCAATGTCTCTTCAGTAATCTCAACCCTCATTAATAATTGGCTAAATGTGAAGAAGCAACAGGTCAGAAGATGATAAAATTTTCATTTTTCAGATAAAATTATTTACAGCCAAACTAGGCAGCGCAATACAAGATTAAGGTTGTTTAATAAAGGCACAAATGTCAAAGTTGATTATGATATATCCATATATCAATATATGAGGTAAGTTAGCAGGAGCTATAGACCTGGATCCGTGAAAGTTGAATAAACACAAGCAGCTACACATAAAACATGCATCATGCTACACATTGAAGACATCCTTTTAGCAAGCAGAAGTCTAATAGGATAGAGTCAGATTATGGTTTCAAAAACATACTGATGAAGCCAAAGTGAGAATTCATAGCAGATATAATAACATGATATTAAAGTATTTAAATCAAATAAAAAAAATGAACATAACAATCATTCATTTCAAACAAATATTGGAAAATCTCAAATTGCAATTGGAAGACAGTGATAGGCTGCCCTTAACCAAATAATTTTATCAACAACTCTTGCTATTAAATAATTCAGAGTCAAAATGGAACCAAAGACAAAACAAGAAAAAGGACCTTACATACAGCTACAAGCTTAATCAGCTAACATCCTTAAGTCTTTTTATCAATACATCCAGTGATTTCTTTTTTGGATTCTGCCTGGCCCCACGACTACCAAAGGTTCCAAAGAGCCGATCCGAAGGATCCCTCAACTTTTCAGAAACGATCGCCACTTTCTTGTGGTCCAAAGTATTGTAACTCCTCTCTCTTATCACAGGATTCAGGAAGTTCTCCGGATGATTGCTTAATAGCAAATTAATCAATTGCCTTGACTCAGAAAGTGCTGTTTTCAACTGATCAACATCCCCATCAGCGAAAAGGCCCCCTTGATTTTCAGCAAATGATTCTAAGAGCCGGATGTCTACATCAATTCCAGTAACAGCATTCACATTAAACCTCTTAACAAAATCACTAACTAAAGTCCCAACTATCTTCTCCGATATGTGAGAAAGAACTTCCTGTAGAACTCTTTTAAGGACATGAGGTGGCAGTATCTGTTGAGCAGTTGAAACCAAAATTTCCAAATAAATTATAACCTCATTTACGTATTCATTTCCACTCTGAGGTGGCTCATCAGTCATCCAATTTACATTCTCAATCAAGGTCATAAATCCATCAATTTTTGCTTTGAGTAGCCCAGAGAGCATCTCTTCTGCAGCATCACGAGCTTTTCTCAGAGGGAACTGCCTTCTGCTTCTCTCTACCATTCTCAAGGGAACCCCTGAAAGCTGTGCCGCATGGCGAAAGAAAAAATCACATGCACGCTCGAATACAGCCATATTTGCTGCTACCTGCATTGCCTGGGAGACACCATTAACTGATGCATTAATAAGCTTTAACAAAGCTTCGTCCAGAACCTCGTTCAAAAGCCTGTCTAAATATTTCTTAACAACTTCATAGAACTCAAGATGCCCGCCATATGACATAAAACTCACAGAATCCTCAATGAAGGACCGCACAATTCGACAACAATCCGGCACGGTGGATGAAAATGGTGCAACATAAGGAAAAGCAGGTGTGATATCTGATGTTTGTATTTGAAAAGAAAGAACATTCATGGAATACTCATACTCTTTCTTCATCAACATCTGTTCAAACTTATCAGCAGCAAGTGCCTCAGCTATCTGCTTCCTACAGTCAGACAACAGCAACTCATGGTATTTATCCCTATGTTTGCTCAAAACATCAAGCAATGCATCAATGTGATACCCATATCTCCGCAGAGTAACTCCCAACAGACTCACATAGTCCTTAATCAGCAAGAGATGATTAGCAGTTTGCATTCTGGAGAACTGATCCTCTAACACAGAACACATTTTGCTAACAGCAATCTCCCACAAATTCTCAACTTCCATTTTCGATATCAAACCACCCCCAGTCCTCAATACCCGATCCTCCACCACAAAGAAACCCGCAATTTGTGCAAAGAAGGTTTGATGGGATTCAAGAAAAGGCGTCATCGAAGATACCTGGAAGTCCGAAGTCAACTGAAGCTTTCGGTTTTCAAAATAATACTTCTTAAACCGATCTTCTAATCCTAAAGTCTGGTGAATATGGTAAGCTTTGTACAACGGAGTCAAATCAAATCCACCGTTACCGTAACCATCCTCACCAATCCCACCGCCACCGGAGATTCCATCTTCATCGTCATCCTCTTCCTCCAAAGCATAAATGCAGTCCCTCACGCTGAGCCTACTCTGCTCCTCAGCTTGCCGCTGCTTAATTCTGAGATCCTCTTCTCTCTGCCTCGCTGACGAAGCTTGACCAATGGCCAATTGCCCCAAATTGCGACTCACCACACGGATCTCCACCAGCCAGTCCCCGAACTCCTTGTTCACCTTCCTCTCTATGTGCGAGCGAATATCTGGAATCTTCTTCTCCAACATCGTCTTCAACGTCGACGACGGCGTTTTGTCCAAGTACTCCCTCTCGATCGCGTCAACGCACTTCAGCGCCATGTAGAAATTGTCACCGGAAAGGTGACGGTTAGCGCGGGAGCAAACTTCCATCAGCTGAACGCATGTTCGGACCGATTCGATGGCGAGGTTGATGTTCTTCGAGACGTTTCGCGTTTCGACGAAGGCGTCGAGGGAGGAGAGGAGCGGGCGAGCGACGGACTGAAGCTTGGAGTTGGAGTCGGAGAGGGATGACTTGAGGGAATCGACGTCGGAGAGGAGGGATCGGAGGTCATCGACGGCGAGGATGAAGTCCTGGTAGTGCGCCTTGCAGACCTCTTCGATCTCCGACTCTTTGGAGCGAGCGAAGTGCCGGAGGTGGTGGTGGAGCGTCTCCGGCTTGCCGGAAGCGAAAGCCTTGCGGATGAAGGGCCCTAAGTCCTCGTTGTTGCAGATGGCGGAGGAGAGAAGGAGCTGATCCAGTTTGTCCGCGGAGTCATCGCCGTTCGCCGGAACAATTTTCCGGCGCAGGGGTTTGGACGAGTGCATAGTTGATGTCGCCGTGGCAGGAGCAGGAAATTTAGGGATTTATGAGAAAATTGAAATGCCGTACGCTCATTTTTCGAAGAGTCGTCGGAACTCAACTTCTGCTAGTCTTCGGCTTTCCATCAGCTTCAGAGGGTATATTAGTAATTAACTCAAAGAACGAAAAAAATTTAATTCAGGAAATTTCAGACTTTGACGATCTGTTTCGTGTGAGGTATAAGGCATGATAGTATAAGCTTATACTATATGTTATGACATTTTCAGTTGTTTGGTGTGACCATCGTATAATATAAGCTTATACCCTTAATACATCAAAACGATGTATAACTTAATCCGGCCTAAATGTGAAAAATAAGGTCTGATAAGAGATTGATGTATTAACATCGTTGACTAATGTAATTCTCAAAAATTAATATATTATTTTAATATTAATCTATTAAAATAAAAATAAATTTTTCGATATATTAATTTTTAAAATATTGAATATTTTTATTTTTATAAAAATTAATTTATATTTTGGACTGATTAATAAATTTTTATTAAAATTAATATCATATGATATTTTTTTAAAAATTATATAAATTCTTTGCTATAAGATATTTTTATTAAAAATATTTATTTTTATTATATATAATATTACACAATCATTACCAAGTACTATATGATATTATCTTATATAATATATTATTTTATAAATATCGTGTCAAATGCTGGATAGTATTAAAATTCAACCAAATCTTATACTATCAGGTCTTATACTATCAAGCTTTATCTTATACTATGTACTAAACAAGCCCTCAATGTAAAAATTACGAATGTGTTTTAAATAATAAAAGACACATTTGTTCTGTATTCGAAAAAAAAAGACACCTATGCTCATTTGTAACTACATATGGTGGTGGGTCAGTGGGTGCACCAACTCCACCAATCTAAATTATAAAATTCTGATTTCGCTCTGCTCGATTGCTATTATTTTTCTAAAACAATATAATATTAAAAAGAAACAAGTTAAAGAGCATGAAACTATGTTTTTGCAATAAGATTTTATTTTCCGGAGTTATGATAGGGTTAAATCATATTAATGTCTTCATTTAAAATATTGTATATGGTTAAATACTTAAATTTATTGATTGAAGTTAAAATTAGGGGATGATGGGTTAAATTTATTTATTTTTTCTTACCACCTCTTACAATCAATTTTATTATTATCCAAACAAAATTCAATTTATGACTCTCACTTTATATTATTTTATAATTATTAATTTAAGTTTAATTCAAAAATAATAAAATTAAATCAATATTAATAGTATCTGACATTAATTTTAAACCCCGAGTGCAAGTAACATCATATCTTTCTTTATCAAGACTTGTTATAAAAGAATAAATAACTCATTAATGAATCATTCCTCAATGACAAATGACTGACTGTTGCCTGTCATGATTGATCATGAGCCAGTTGGCAGCTTACTTGATCAACGTTTTTCGCCTCTCAGTTTATATCACGCCCTTATCCCTCCTTTCTGGCAATATCTGTATACTTATTATTCTTCACAGTTTGCACAATCTCCTTCGGTGGTGGTAGGTCCTGGCTGCTTCTTACATAACAAAGTTAAGTGGTACTTAAGTGTGACAATAATATTAATTCAAGCAAATCAAGTTTTTCATAGAGGTCTAAGATCAATAATATATAAGTAAAAATTAAAGCTAAATACTAATTCATTTTCTTTCTTTTTTTGTATTACTACTAATTCATTTTCTAAAAGTGTGACAAAGTTTAATTTTTATTTTTATTTTTTGGATACAAAAAGTTTTAAGTGAGGTGAGACGTATTAATATTCCTCACTAAAAGTTTTTCATAGAGGTCTAAGATCAATAATATATAAGTAAAAATTATAACTAAATACTAATTCATTTATTTTAAAGTGTGACAAAGTTTAATTTTTTTATTTTTTGGATACAAAAAGTTTCAGTGAAAACATACATATTGATATTCCTCACAACAGCCAGCAAGGTTTGAACCCACCCCAAACTTTTAGCCAACTATGCCACCTTTCTTGGCAGATTAACTTTTCTTAACAAAACACTCAAATGGTGTTATATATTAATCCTTTTTTATTTTTGCACTCATTTTTTTTATTTTAGTGTTCATAGTTTTTACTTATGATGATATTGATCCCTATTTTTATAAAGTATTAGTCTCTATGATTTTTAATTATTAAAACATTAAATTATTAAGGTTTATAATCCAAATGAATAAGAATTTGTAAAGACCAAATATATATATATATATATATATATATATATGATTAATAATTTTCATATTATAAAAAATAATTTTATCTTTTGCATAATTTTTTTTGAGTGTTACGGTAACACCCAAGTCAACGCTCCTCTTTGCCAAATAAGAAAAATTTAATCATATTTGAATCCAAATGATTTTGGCTATTTTCCTTTGATTCCAGCTTGTTTCTTTCTTTTTTTTTGGAAGAAATATTTATACATTCGATGCACAGAAAAAGCTTTTTTTTTTTTCACAAATAAAAGTATACGGACTTGTATTTTTATTTTTTTTCACATTATCCCATATGGATCCCACATGCTTTTATATATTTGTAAGAGATAAAATTTTATTCTATAACATAATAAACATTAATATATATTATAAAAATAAGATGATGAAAATTTGTATTAAAAAAAGTTAAATTGTGCGGATGCAAATAGAAGTTCAAATATCTATTGATTTTATGAGTTACTCATTTCCTTCTAAAACTATTTTTTTATATTTTAATGGGGCAGGATATACTTATCACCAAAAAAATTTACCACCTTTACAACCAATCTAATCACCGTTGATTTCCGTCAATCTAACGATTATAATTTATTGGGTATTAATAATTAATTAATAAATACGACCCAATAATTTTCAATAAATTATAATCGTTAGATTGACATGGTGATTAAGTTAGTTGTAAATGTTGTAAACTTTTTTAGTGGTAAGTATATCATTTCCCTATCTTAATTTCCGAAACAATGATTGGTTATGTGAAATGTAATAACCAATGTTATTAGAACCGGACCGGTCATTGACCCGGTCGAGGTACCGGGTCACTGGGTCAATGGTTCAACCGGTGGGTCACTGGTTGAACCGCATGAACCGGGTATATATATAAATTTATATTTTATACTTAATTATATAATAAATATTTTAAATGGTGCAATTCAAACAATAACCTGATGTAGTCTAGTGGTAATTATTATATTGCCTATCCTCAATGTAAGGGGTTCGATTCCTCTTAGATGCAATTTTTGAAATAATTCTATTAACTTAATAGTTATATAATAAGTATATTAAATGGTGTATTATATTCAACAGGTAATGATAGTGTAGTGGTTTGAAGGTGCGCTCCTCACATCAAAGGGTCGGGTTCGATTCCCACCTGGCGCAAAAATTGGAATATTTTGTAACTTATTTTAAAAAACCGGTTTAAAGGTAAAACCGGTACCGGTTTACACCGGTTCAACCGCGGTTTATGACCGGGTCACCGGGTTGATACCGGGTCAAATGCTTAAACGGTCCAATATTGAAACCGGACCGGTTTCCGGGCCAACCGGTCGGACCGGCCGGGCCGGGCCGGTTTTAATAACACTGGTAATAACTCACTATTGTATAATTTTATATGGGATATGTTATGCTTAACACTATTTTTTTACTACTAGATTTTAATTGTTGATTTTTGTCAATCTAACAGTTATAATTTATTGATAATTAATAATTAATTAATAAATATTATCTAATTAAAAGAAATACCGTGCCAAATAGCAATGCTATTTTTTTTTTTAAAAAAAAAACGGGTCACGGATGTGATCCGAGTTGATTCGGGTTTTCAATTGCTGCGAAAAATACCAAATAAATTCATTTAACCCTAAAACAAAACCCTACTTTCATTCTCTCGCTTGGCTTGTGCAGCAGCAGCAGGAGGCAGCTCCATCCACAATGGTATGTTGTCCTCTGAACCTCAACGGCGGAACCCAAATCCTTCGACGGTTTATCTCACTTTTTTTTGAATTGAATTGAATTGCAGGGAATCGATTTGAAGGCAGGAGGCAAGTCCAAGAAGACAAAGCGAACCGCCCCCAAATCTAATGATATTTACCTCAAGCTCCTTGTCAAGGTAACTTCTTCTATTCTACTATTTTCTGTGACTCTGAATTAGGGTTTTGTATTTGATAAGCATTCATTGTTTCTTCTATTTTCAGCTCTACCGTTTTCTTGTTCGGAGGACTGAGAGTAATTTCAATGCCGTCGTTCTCAAGCGCCTTTTCATGAGCAAAGTCAACAAGCCTCCTCTCTCCCTCTCTAGATTGATTCGTTACACGAAGGGAAAGGTAACCTATCTCTTTTCTTTATTCGTTCCATTTATTAATTTTTAATGTACAATTTGACAAAAGAAGAGAGAACTTTTAGCATTTGAAATGATAATTGAAATAATCAATGTGTTAATTTGAAGTTTTTATTTGTTTTGGATTTATCTTGATTTCGTTTTCATGCATTAGGAGGATAAGATAGCTGTAATTGTTGGGGCCGTGACTGATGACATTAGGGTTCACGAAGTGCCACCTCTAAAGGTGACTGCCCTGAGGTTCACAGAAACTGCCAGAGCCAGAATTGAGAAAGCTGGTGGGGAATGCCTCACCTTTGATCAACTCGCTCTTAGAGCTCCCCTGGGTCAGAACACGGTATGGAATTTAATGCCACTCTTGTCTGTTTACTGTAACTTATGAGGTATGGCTCTGTATAAATTGCTGTACTTCTAGTTGTTTGTGATGTTGGCTTATGTGAACAAAATACGAGAATGGCCCTGGTTAATGAAATTTATATATATGTTTTATGTCTGAGCAAGTAACAAATTTTGAGTTTTCTCATCCCTTGCACCTCTCGCTAGCCCTTGAATGAGTTACTTTGTTTACACTTGCCTGACAATCATGTTTATCTTGCTACCTTATAGGCTCCTTATCTTTGTTAATGTAAAAATCAATTGTATGATAAATGTATACTGAGTCTACTTTTTATCTTATATTTCATCTTGTTCAGAAGGAGGACAAGGATGATACTTAATTTTGTTCTCTTCTTTTTTATATTATTGCACCGTAACCATTGTACTTTCTGTTTCTAACCTTTATTCGGCTAATCCACTTTCATACCAATCTAGTATGGTAAAGTTGGATCAATGTTGTCAATTGTTGTGTGGGTTTGGGGGCCTAGTTCTCTTGTTTATAATATCACAGTTGTAGGAGGAAGAAGAAAATAATACTGGAACGTTCATTTCTTCCCTGCGGTTGGGAAATTGTTAAAAATTTGCTTAGCTCTGAAGCATGATATTTTTTTTTTGAAATAATGTTTCAGGTTCTTCTTAGAGGGCCTAAGAATGCCCGTGAGGCTGTCAAGCACTTTGGACCAGCTCCTGGTGTGCCCCATAGCCACTCCAAGCCCTATGTACGTGCAAATGGACGAAAATTTGAGCGGGCCAGAGGACGTAGGAATAGCAGAGGCTTTAGAGTTTGAGTTCTTGAGCTCAAACATGGAGGACCTTTCCTTTTATCTTATGATATTTCTGTATTGTTTTCTCCCTTTTTATGTTGGAACAATTTATCAATTCTAGTTTTTATTTTTCCTTCTATCCAAGGGAAAAAGAATGAAGCTCCCTCCCTGAACAATTTTGTTTTACCACAAACGTTATGATGAACTTTGAGAGGATTAATGAACGGCTTTTATTCTACTACGTGTAATTGTAAAACGATTTATTCTATTTTTCGGCTTTCAACCGTCGTATTTTATGATGTCTTGGGAAACAGGACAAAATATAAAAATGAAAATAGGGATCCTTCTTGGGGGTTTCAAGTATTCATCATTCATAGATTGCCTAGGGAAATTCGTTATACTATTATCGATCCCTTTATATCTTGTATTTTGTTGTGGTTTCTCTATTTACGTTGTCTTGTGATGTATTAGGTAAGTCTCGATTCCGAATTGAGAGTGAGAGCCTTAGCGAAGATGGGAATACCTATTACTTTCGTTTTTTTTTTTTTTTTTGATAATATATTACTTTCGTTTTAACAATAAGAATTTTTATGCTGATTTGCTGCCTATTTTAAGCCAATGTGATTTTACCAAATTATTACTTGAAGTTAGAACGCCAGCAATATCTAATCATAAAACATTTCAGAAAAAAATATTAGCATCTACTCAAAAGAGAGATCGGAGGAGATCTACCACTTGTTAGCTGGGCCTGGGAGTGATTCAAAGGATTAGGCACAAGGAAGGGTAGACTTTAGTTAAACGCATTAAGTTTGCTTCTTATAAAAGCCAAATTAAGCCAAAGAAATCCTTGCTTTTACGCCAGAGATTGTGCAGACTTGACACTCATAAAAGCGTATAGAACATTGCAATCCAAAGTAGAAATTATTCATGACTTGTATTCTACTTCTGAAGTATAATGTAGGTTAAAACTTCTTGATGAAATCGTATATGTGCGCGCTGATCTCTTCTGGTCTTTCCTGATTTAGAAAGTGAGCTACTCCTTCCATCACAACCATTTCTTGCAAGTATGGCACTACTCTCTTAAAGCCACCATTATGCATATAATCCTTTGCACCTGGAGTGTTGTATGTAATGTCCAGGTCTCCCACAATAAACTTGACCGGTACTTTGATCTGTACTCCAGTCCACGGTGCAGTGAGCTCCCAGGTTCTGCAGACAGCAAAATTTACCCGATTATACATCCACATACTTCACCAAAATAAACAAGCAAAACTAAAAATAATCTCATCTCTTTGCAAATGAAAACTTCTACTCTGAACTTCTTTTATTGATACATACATACAGCAGTATAAGGCTGGTTCAATTACTTCGTCAAAAGTAACATATGGAAGTTATTCCAGACGTGCCCCTTTTTTCATGCTAAATACTGTTAAACATTTAATCATTAGGAACATTTTACACATAATCAGTTCCCGCATAAGGAATTTATGGGCCTAAAGAAAAAAAGTATAAGAAATTTGAGGTATAAAAAAAATAGAATTATCATGTGGTACAATTGATTTGGGGCAATGATTTGCATCAAAGAAAAAATTAACTCTTACTTAAAATAAGAATTTATAGTTTCATACGCAAAAAAAGGGGTTGCATTACAATATGTATAGCAATGTTTCAAACAACGAATTAGAAGAAACTTACTGGTCCAGAGCGCGATAGTAGTTTAACCCACCAGTGAAGCCTTTCTTGTTAAATTTGCTGGCATAATAATTGACATCTTCTTCAGACAGCCACGAAGGTAAAGTAGTAGGAGTGTTACGTGAACCCCCAAATCCTATCTCCTTAGGCACACAAGGTGGACGAGGATCGCGAGATGCAAGAAATGTCTTTATTATTCTAACTGTACCAGCACGGGCAAACTCTTCTTCAGCCTCCCCAGGTTTCTGCAGGACAACCAAATACCAAACACTAGATATTAACTTGACATATATAACATTGAAACTATCAACTACTACCATACAACATATATATCTTTGAAACTTGTGAACAACATTGAATTGGATAGGTACCGTTCAAAGTAAACCAGAAATTGATTCAGAAGCTTGTATTAGGAAGCAACTATTATTGTGAGAGTCAAAAAAGAAGAGAGGAAGAAGAGAAGTTGAGAGGCAAGGATGCACACACAGACTCTCTCACACACACATACAATGGACTACACATAATATTTGATTAGCATTGTTAACTGACAGTCTGACACTGATACGTGAACATTGACATCACCTTTATCACAAAATAGTTGGGGTCAAGGGTCAACGAATCCAAATAAGAAGCAAGAAAAGATGGACAGAAAACAAAAATAAATAAATATTGAGAAATTAAATAAAGGGAAAAAGAACTAAAACGAGCTGTGAACATAGGAAAGAGAAAAGATACCAATAAAAAAATGGACTTCCCTCATGTTGAGCACATATTACTAATGTGCCATTCCTTTTGCTGTAAGACAGATTATATTTGAAAACCGAATGAAGATGAACCACATATCATACTACTACAGTTATTGCTTTGACGTTAAAGGAAGGAAGAAGAATTCATACAAGAGCAGAGCATTACACGATCTTTCTACTTACAGCAGAGTTTTTAATTTATTAACCAAGCAAGGAACTTGCCAAATTAACTCACCAAAGCAGACAACGTATAATTTGTCTTATATTCAGACCGAATTTTGAGAGATTCTTACATATTCAAAGTGCAATTACACTAATAACAACATTCTACACATAACATGGAGAGACTAAAATTGAAAAATTGAAAAATAAGAGAGATTCTTTGCAAAAACTTAGTGTATGCAATTTGTATGCACTAAGCTCATAAAGTATGGACACATTATTAACATACTGGTGAACATAACAATATTTTATTATGTTACAAATTGTTAATTCCAAGAACTTAAGCTCGCACACTAGAGTTTTTCAAAGAGAAATTAATGTCACATGCCGGTAATGTAAACGTCAAATTGTCAAGTGGGAGGGAGACGTACCAAACTAAAAGTGATGCATTATTAAAACAAAGGTGACATTTTGAGATTTGAGCAAGGGAGCAAGTTAATTTCACCATAGTAGTTAATTGCGCTGCAATAGCGCCGCGAGCCGCGCCGTATGGGCGTTGCGGTGCCTTGCCGCAAGAAACCGCGCCGCGCCAAATCAGAACGCAATAACGGCCATTGCGATCTCATTTGCAGCCAAATTGCTGTCATAAGGCAAAATGTCAATTTTGTCTTATATTTAAATGTGTAACAGAAAATTTTTAAGAGTTTTTTAGTCTATCCGCGTCTCTCTCTGTCACTTTTGCTATCTCTGCCTTTGAAAAATGTTTCTTTTTGTCATTATTTCTGTCATATATCTATTCCGCTATTTCCGCAAACGCAATCCGCTATAGCGTTTTTCGGGGTTGGCCGCGACACGCCGCAATCCGCATTTGATAACTACGAATTTCACCAGAATAAATGTGAAATCAAACTAATGATGATTCTTGAGGACAGGCAAAAAAGGTTAACTAAATGTCATCAATAACCAGAACCACCTAAAAGGCAAACATTCTAATGGTTAACTATGAATTACTGTGTTACTAGGGTAGTTGATTTCAACAATAATGGCAAATAAAGGGAAAAATGATAAGCAATTAGCTCAAAGAAGAGGAGGTGAATAAACCGGTACTTAGATTATATTAGGTCATGTGCTCAATTCATGTTAAAAAAAATAAAAAAGAGGAGGTGAATTTACCTGAAACCTGCAGATATAGTAATCATCACCCATCAAAGACCTCAAGCTCTCTATGGGCTTTCTCTTAGGGTTCCTGGGGTAGAAAACCACACTCATGTTGACCAAGGCCTTAACACGATCAGGCCTTAACAAGCAGAAATACCAGGCCATAACAGCTCCCCAGTCATGGCCCACCAAAAACACTTGCTCAATACCCAGAGCATCGAGGAGTCCCACGAGGTCACCTACGATGTGTAGGGCCGTGTACGAAGAAGCAGAGGCCGGCGCGTCGCTGTCGCCGTAGCCGCGGAGGTCAGGGGCGATGGCGCGGTAGCCGAGGGCGGAGAGTGACAGAAGCTGATGACGCCAAGAATACCAAAGCTCAGGGAAACCATGGAGGAATAGTATCACTGGGCCGGACCCAATTGATGCCACGTGCATTTCTATTCCATTCGTGCTCACCATTGTATGCTCTATATTCTCCATTTTTTTTCCAGCCTCTTAACTTTCAACTTCGATATTTTGTAACTACACCCCCTTGCCAACCTTGTTATAGTCGTACTCTTCTGCTCAACTTTTATTTATGATAAGGAATTAAAGGTTATTAATTGTATTATTGGTAAGAGAATTTGTCCTTTTTCTTCTGAAAACAAAAGTGAGGACGGAACTTTCAATTCACTTTCCTTATTTAAACAAGGATTTATTGTTTATGATATTGTAGAGATAATTTTATTATATATATATATATATATATATATATATATATATATATATATATGATAGGATCCTTTGACATCGGTGTCAAATTTTAAGTTTGACACCTCATTTGAGAGTCGTTAGATTGAACAGGATCAATGGTGTCACATGCTTATAAATCAGAGTCGTTGATCTTTTTTGATCTAACGACTCTCAGATGAGGTGTCAAACTTCAAATCTATCTATATATATTTAAATCTATAATTTTTTCTCTTTTTTATTCACGTTCGTTTACATAAATTTTATATATTTTTATGTATGTATATGAGATAATTTTATTTCTTATTATAAGAATAAAATTAAACCCTTGAACAAAACATTCAATGATTCTCTAATTAATAATAAAGGAGGGGGAGAATAAATGGTATTAGTGAATAGTGGGTTACTTTTTTTCTTCTTTATTAAGTAATGTATATTTACCCAAAAAAATAATAATGTATCGAGTGCTTACTATAAAAAATATTGAAAATATTATTCTCCTAATAATTATGGGAAAAACTACTCTTATGCTACTTGTGATAAATTTATCTCATACACATTCTTCGATAATTGTGCCACCTTTTTTTTTCTTCAGGTGATGGAGCCTCCAAATTTATCTCTATGACATGAGATAACTTATCTCATTTAACATGATATTAATAAAACCCAATAATTATTGCACTTTTATATCCGATGCCGTATTTATATGTTCCGCCTTTCTTTTTGACTTTTGGTTGGTGTCCTTAATATTCTTAAGCCCAGTAAATAATAAATTTTTTTGGTTCCAAGCATAGACTTAAATCAACTTCCTAGGGTTTGAAATACTACCAGCCCAGCCCATTGACATGTTCGATAGATTTCACAAAAGGTTGGCCAAATTGTATGGGCCCCAGACAGTGGCACCGTGGCAGCCCAGTAAAAGTGCCGTATAAAGCGCAACAATTAACCAAGAATAAAGCGCGACCAACTAACATCGGTCATGAGGGCATGTTAATACATTTAGGATGGTCATAGGACATGTTAAAACAGGAACAAATTTGGAAATTCAATTAGTGTAGCTAAATTGACAATACATGCTAAGTAACTAGAGAGAGAATACGAATTCGATTCTCACTAAATACATCTTTAGAATTTATAAGACACTTCGCTCTCAAATTAATTATTGAACCAATAGATTAGTGTATGGAAAAGATAAGTACCTAAATATAGAGTCATTATATTTATAATATTAGAGGGACCTACTTTGTAGTCTAGGTAACCTCTACAGAATGTGTTGTGTCATTTCCTTTGTAGTTATGACTTTCAATTGGTTTGGTCAGAGTAACCTCTACAGAATGTGTTGTGTCATTTCCTTTATAGTTATGACTTGATCGTAAGTTGTGCTGGAATTAACTCTATGTCATCTTGCCATTGGTTCATGGAGACAGTGTCAACCTCGCTAGTTCACCGAAATGGTGTGCCAATTTTACGAGGTTTGTCCTTGTACCTAGGCGAAATGTCACTCTGACACAACTTGCGTCTGTTGGATTTGTACTCCAACTAGCTATCCAAGCTTGCTTTGAAAGAGGTAAGGGCTCTTGGACCGAAGATCAAGCGGGTCGGGCCTTTACATATTTCGCCCCCCATTGTATTTCCTTTTTTTGGGGAAGTATTCTATTGATTTAATCTCATTTTGTATATTGAATCTCTTACACGATGTTATTAATTGTTTTCTTCATAAATAATTTATTTACAAGCAATACATGCTTTTAATTAAGGGATAAATAATAATAATGTTACAGGAAAAAATTTCCTATCATGCAAAGCTACCGACAAAAGAAAATTATTGAATACAGTGTTTCCAATTTTTTTATTATTATCTAAGTTGTCGTTTTCTTTGCAGGAAACAAAAAATGATTGCTGCGATGGGATGAAACCAAAGCCCGTTAATTAATAATCACATGGTAATGCCGATATATCTTGAATAAATTTTTCAATGTATGTCTTTGAATCTTTGATAGTGATCGTTAAGATTTTTATGTCTAAAAGTTCCATTATTTTAAATGGGGAAGGATATACTTACCATTAAAAATTTTTATCACTTTTACAACAAATTTATTACCGTTGATTTTTGTCAATCTTTAAAATTTATTGAATTTATCTGAAATTAATTATTAATTAATAAATACGACTAAATAATTTCCAATAAATTATGACCGTTCGATTGACGGAAATTAACGGTGATTAAGTTGGTTGTAAATGTGGTAAACTTTTTTGGTGATAAGTATATCATTTCCCATTTTAGATATGATATTTTCTAAGGGTTTTGCTTTTCTTATGTTGTAGGATGGTAGGAGAGAAAAAAAGTAGAGAGAAGTTAAATGTGGGTCCCATATTGTATAAAAAAGAAAAGAAAAATTATTTGGCACGAAAAACGAATTTGTGTAGGAAAATGAGAGTATCTCATGTGGCATGAGAGTATTATTTCCCATTTTTTAAATATGAAAAAACATTTATTTATTTTCCAATGAGAATGATAACACGTGCGTTGCACGTGATTTCTACTAGTATTTTGAATATATATAGAATCATCTATTTCCAAGTTTTATGATACTTAGCAAAACTACTGTAGGAATGTAATAATTGAATTGGCTTTTTTTGGTTAAAAAAAGGTTGTATGTTCTGTTTCGGATGCGCCAGCTACACCAGGGTAGCAGGGAAAAAATATATTCTGAGTCCATCAATAATGAGTCATGTCATTAGAACCTTTTTCAACACATTCGTAGACCGCAATTCTGATAAGCTAGGCATCTCAGATTAATTTGGAGAATCTGAATGTAAAAAAGTGTCACTTGAGATATATTGTGCTTCTTACAGTGGGGCCTAAGAAATTTTCACCGAGAAAATATATTCCAATAAAGTGAGCTATGCTGGTGATATAAAGGGGTGGGAGTTTTATTAAAGCTAATTCCACTTAATAGTTTTTGACGGTATATATATAAGCCTATTTCGTTATAAAGTGCACAGGGAACGAAGGTCGTCATTCAATGGCATTTCGGATTGATATCAAACCACTTGCAGTATTGAACAAGGACAAGTGCCTTGTGACACCACTACTTCACTGCGTCTCTGCATGTACTGTCGCAAGAGGGCGTTTTTGTCAGAATGCAGCAAAAGGCAACAAGCAGTATATTTGACAAGGATTAGCACAATCGATATTTATCGTTGAGTTTGAAATAGTGTTGAACTAGTACTTACTGCTTATGCGTCGTTATCCATATTTGACTACATGTGCAATGTTTTCCTAAGGCAAACAATCAAATTATTGTTTGAAAACTTTTGTGATGTTTACTGTGCTGCCCATTTCCTGTTTTCTAGCAAGTGCGCCACGCAACTAGTTGTGACTTGTGATCCTTCTGCTGCCTTTTTATATTCTTTTCCCAATCCTTGATTTGCTTTTCAATTTTCTGATTTCACAGGCTGCAACTGCAACCCTATGGCATGTATGGGTTTGCTCGAAAAGAACCAACCAAACAAAATCAACGGAGAGATAGGGCAACAAATAAAGATTTTTTTTTTTCATTTTTTTTCTTTCAATAGGTTCCTTTTTAGATTAAAGCTACAAGTGGTACTCTCTTTTGAGTTGATTAGTGACAAATCGGCCAAATAATCACACTCCCTGTAATTTTGCAGATCCTTTTTCCCTAATAAGATGAGATGCCATCTAATCAATCAACTTGTTAGTGACAACAAAATTGGTTCCTTATCTTCGCAGCGTACAACTTTTTCAAATTAAAAGTAGTAAGTAAATGAAAGCAACTCAAAGAGATAGCGAAAGCTTTATATCGCATGAATTAGGCATACAGGATGCAAATTAGTACGTCCAGGAGGCCGCAAAAACATCTTGAATGATTTTAAGATTATTTAGAAATGGATAATTGTAGTAAATTTAAATTAAAAAATTTAAGTTAGATATTCTGAAATAAAAATAGGGTTCGTTTTTTCTACCGCTACTGCAGATAAGTTATCTGCAGTAAATCTAATACGAGTAAGCCTGATACGACATCATTTTGGGATGAAAATCATGGTGTTTTTATAAATTTAATTTATTTCAAGATTATTATAATCTTTATAATTATAATTATTTAGTTTTTCAATCTCAAGACGATGTCGTTTTAAAAATAAATATAAATAATTTAGATGCAGTAACGTCAAAATATTATTCTAATAAAAATATTTGACGATTATGATCCGGACCGAAGCTGAGCTGAGACTCAAAGTGACTACTTTGATTTGATTTGACTTGTTTCTTTGTTTTTTATTGCAGAAAAGGGCCCAAAAGCTCAACAGGAGGAAAGCAAACTCCACGAAAATCATCAGTGAAATGTTGTTGCTGCCACTAGGAGCCAGGAGTGAAGCTGTAGGAACGTGTACATTCAATGAATGAAAACCCTACCATATACTTGATTTACCAAACATTACTGATTAAATGAATAACTATACTTTTTTTCTTTTTCATTTTTTTGGTGAACTGTTTTACTTTTTCATAACAGTTGCTAATGCATGTCGTAGATCACCAGTTAAGAAATACTTAGTATTCTAAACAAAAAACAGAGAAATAAATCAAATAATTAGTATTATATTTGTGTAAAATAATTTCAAGTATTCAAAATATGCATGAAATTTGTACTAAAATATGTTTATATTATTTTTTAATCTAAAATACGATTAAGGATTTAATTTGTTTTTCATGAGACCACAAAATTTAAAATAAAATATCCTAATCTTTAATCTCTAACGCTAAGTCACAGGTCATAATTCAACTTAGAAAGAATCGTATTTTTTTTTTAAAATGGTAGATTTGTTTGGAGATGCATCGTGAGAATCCTAACTAGCGACCATGTCTCTTTCAATTTCTCTTTCCCTAGAAGCCAAAAGGAAGAATTGACGAATTACTGCAAGGTCACGTGGAAAAATGAAAACATATATGGGTACCACCAACACCAAGTCACCATCAACAGTGATGAGAAATTAACCAAATCATATGGAAATGTGTGCCAGATAAACATTGCCATTCAATTTCAGATAAAAACGGAAAGATGCATGCTGTCAAGAAGAATATATGAAAGTTAAAAAGTAATCACAAGTCCAGTGGTTCCATATATATTATTATTATTATTATATAAGCAAGCATAAGATGGATCCAATCAAAACAAAAATCCTCTAATTCTTCATCGGTGAAACTTCGCCTCCGTTACCATTTTAAACTCAATTCTCTGTCACGATGATGGAACCTGACATCGAAGCAAAGTATGTCCACAATGGCAAGGTCATGGTGGGCACTGCCATCCTTCTCATCATTATCATACTCATCATCATTTTCTTTCACACCTACGTCCACCTCTGTCGCCGCCACCATCTCTTCTCTCAACCACTTACCACTAATTCCCCTTCCACCACCACTTTAAATGAAGAAAGCCTCGACCCTTCTGTTCTGAAATCTCTTCCTACCTTCACTTACTCCTCCGCCACCCACCGCCCTCTGCACGACTGCGCCGTCTGCTTGTCGGAATTCGCTGACTGCGATAAAGGCCGTGTGCTTCCAAACTGTAACCACGCTTTCCACTCTCATTGTATTGACACATGGTTCTGCTCTCACTCCAACTGTCCTCTCTGCCGAGCTCCGGTCGAACCGGATACAGTGGCCGTTGATGTTGAACCGTGCTCTGTTTCGGTTTCAGAAGCGGGTGAGGGTTGCTCGTCTTTTCCTGCTCCAATTGGGTGTCCGAGAAAGCCATTAGGTATAATAGTTGAGATGCCCGAGGAGGAAAGAGGGTCGGATCCTGTAGCGGGAGATCACGGGTTCAAATGGCCATTGAAAAGGTTTTGCAGTGTATAGGCGAGAAGATCGTAGAGGAAGATAGCGTTGGTGAGCAGAGAAAAGAGACGCTCGCAGAGCGATGAACTAGACGGTACAGAGACGCTGGTGAATGGTTGGGGTTCGCCTAGTGAAGAAAAGAGAGTCTCAACTAATTTGTAACATATTTACAAATATGCCACTATGTTATTTATTGTTTTCATCTTTCTCAAAAAGTTTATGAAGAAAACATTGAAAATATCCTTTTCATTGTTTGAAAAGTTGGGCCTATTTTTGAAATTCAACGTCAGCTTTAGACTTTGCATCGGCTCATAGCCTTGTTGATAGTTATTTTTTTTTTCTGGGCTGTGGCCCTCCTCAATTACTCAAAAAAAAAAAAAAGTCTATTACAGAAAATGTTTTCTAAAACTCAAACAAACATATTTTTAAAGAAGGTTATAGTTACAATTTATTTTTGTTTACAACCTTTTACAATCATAATTTTAATCGTGAATTTCTGTCAATCAACGGTTATTATTTTTGTAAATTAAAATTATTAATTAATTATTAATTCACAATAAATAATAATCGTTGATTGACGAAAATCAACGGTTAAGATTATGGTTGTAAAAGGTCGTAAATAAAAATAGGTTGTAACTATAATCTTTCTCGTTTTTAAATTCATTTTTGTTTTCTTATTGAAATAAAAATAAGAAATGAGTAAAACACGGGACTGAATAAATTCTCTCAATGTTTCATTTAACATTATTAGGTTATAAGAGACAATCTTAACTGTTCACAGATAAATTAATGATTATTTTTTCTCATTTTCTATCTATTTTAATGCTTTTTCCTTTTTCTATCGTCATGTTGATTTGTCTATAATCAAATAGGATGGTCTACTAAGGTGGTGCGGTTGCGATGACTACATTTGACTTTGTCAACTTAGACAGATGAAATGGACACCCAGTTAAGACTATTATTGTCGACAAGAAAGTTACATCCAATTTGACCAATCTATTAAATTTCATATTCTCAAAATAGTGAATGGGCCGAGCATACATGAATCATGGGCTTTGATTGCTACAACAATGCAGACATGATAGCAGAAGCTGTGGAAATGTTAGTACTTATTTTGGATTGGGTAGATTTTTCTAGCGAATGAAACTAGTTAAATTCAGGGCGTCGGGTCATAGACTCAAAGGTTGATGTGATGGAGCTTCGTCTAAATAAAACTTATGACTATTTTATTTTGTTTTCCTTTCAATGAAGTTCATTTAACTAAGAAATGGCTTCAATTATACCCCGTAAGAATGTGAACCTAAGTACAATTCAAGAAATTCTAACCAAAAATAGAAAATTCAATTAAGGGTCAAAAGAAGTGCAAAGCGGGAAGCGCAGAATGCGATTGAGGGTTCATTTTTTGGTAAAACATGATCGATCAACCACTATATTAGGTGATGAATAACAAATTCTCAATTTAGCAAATCGAATTCAGTGGATGCCAAGTGCATGCCTCCGACTATAAACCACTTAACCTTCCTCTAGAGTTTCCTCGTGGCAGGGGACAACAATTCAGAAAACCAACTCCGAGAAGAAAACAAACATCAGTTCCAGAAAGAAAAAAGAAAAATAAAAATGGAACGTGTTGCAAAAATCCTCTTGGTCTTGGTTATCTGTGTCGTTGCAATGGCACACCAGACAGCTGCAGAAGAAAGCAAGGGCAAGGACCTAATCAACAAGGTATGTAGTAGATCATCAACCACGGATATGTGCAACGAAGTCCTTTCCTCCGACTCAATAAGCCCAAATGCAAACCTAAAAGACTTGGCAATTATAGCTTTGAGGGTTGCTGCCAATAACGCCTCAAGCATTCTCAATGACGTGAAGACGATGATTGATGATGCTGAATTGGACCCAGACATTCAACAGGGCTTGGCTGATTGCAAAGAAACCATTTTGGATGCTGAAAGCCAACTTGAGGACACTATTGCTGCCTTGTTGGTTGATGCTGACGTTGATGCTCAGTTATGGCTAAAGGCTGCTTTGGCTGCTATCCAGACCTGTGATGATTCCATCCCTGGAAAAGACGATGTTCTCTCTGTTAAGAGTGCTACCTTCCGCAAATTGTGCAATATTGCCGTGGCCCTCAGCTTGTCCTTGCCAAATCAAAATTAATTTTTTAACGTATTAATTGGTCTTTGCCCTTTGGTATAAGTGCTTTCTTAATTCTTATCCTTGTCAATTTTACGTGAATAATCCCTACGTAATTTAACAGTATTAAAAGTGCTGTCTGAGTTTTTTTTTTTTCCTGTGTATTTTGTTACATGGAAAGGACTAAGGAGGGCTCGTAAAAAAAATAAACCAAAACAAACGAGAGAACTTACGCTATCCATATTAACGAGGGTCAGTCATCTAGAAATTCTTTTATGTACTCAGTGTTACATGTACGCGGGTCCAATTGTGAAATTCACACAATTAGTGAAACTCAGATACGTCAATGGGTAATATTTGAGGAATGGCTAATTCCTCTCATAGCATTCAAAAGTTTCTTTGCTCGCTTTCTTGTCCTTTTTTTCATCTTCTTTAATTTAAACTACATAAAAAAATATATGATTTTGTTATATTTAAAAAAATATATAAATAATTACAATAAAAGTTTATAAATTTTTGCCAACCAAAAAAAGTTATAATTATTTAGATATGTTCCATCAAAGGAAAAGTTTAACACTTAATATGAGAGTTGTTAATTTTGTTTTGATCTAATGATTCTGATTTATAAACATATGACACTGTTGATATGTCTTTGATTTAATAACCTTCAGATGAGGTGTCAAAGTTTTTCTTTGACACTAGTAATAAAAGATCATATCCCATATATATATATATATATAAGTTACAGATTTTTTTTTTTCCTTTAGAGACAATAGAAGGCATGGGTCACACAAATAAGGAGATAGAAAAGAATATCAATGGCCCCACATCATATATTGTCTCAACATGAAATTATTATGGTGCTTCAAGACCACACTTCACTTAGTGGGATAGACCAATAAAAAATGAGCAGAAAATGTGATATGTGTATAGATGAAAAAGAAAAAAAAATTAATCCAAATGTTATATTTTTAATGGAAGGAGCATGTGCTTTCAAGCACCGAACTTTTTTTTTTTCCTTTAACTTGAGAGATGTATTACTATAACCTTTAACTTGAGAGATGTATTACTATATATATATATATATATATATATATGAAAAATGTGTATCATTTTAAAGGACACAAAGTTATGTCATTTTAAGTGAGAGAAAGAGATAAATCATGGAAGAAAGAGTGGGGGCAAATTTTTTAAAAAATGTGAGTCTCACCTCTTTGTGAGAGTGAAAAGATATAAGATGTGTCATTTAAAATGATACACTTTATATATATATATATATATATATATATATATATATATATATGAAAATATTTTTATTATTAAAAATTTACTATGAAAAAATGCTGAAAAAATTTTAAAATGAAAAAAAATATTAATATAATGATAATTAAATAAGTAATAGGTTGATAATAAATTTTTTTGTTGACACTAAGAATATGTATATATTTATCAATCGTAACATCACAGAATATGACAAAAGAAATGTTGCCTGTCAGTAAAAAATAATCACAGACACGGCAACGAAAGAAAGGTATCCTCACCTTTTGCCAGCACGAAAAGCAACTTCATTCATAAGGTTCGAAGAGGTCAAAATCGGCGGTTGATAAATTAAAGTGGTACGAGCTAATTAAATTAAATAAATGTAAAATGGGAATAAATTAATGTAATATATATTTGCTTCATAACTGAGTCATATTAATTAAATGACAATGTGCATTCAACATCGGGTACTAGTAGATCTGTTAGTAGTACAAGCGATCGCCAGCTTATTATATGGAGGAGAAAAAAAAATAACAAAAGGGAAAGAACAAAGTGAATGTATCAAATTTGTGTAGACTCTAAATTAAGGTATTGGTGTAAGTAACTCCTGTCTGGGGCAACCAATCATCTCCAAGCAAGAAGTTGGACACCGTAAAGTTAGCAGCATCCGTGGCATTAATCACATGGTAACCTGGCCACGTCACTCTACTGGCGGTGCTGGATCCAGATCCAGTGTTGTTGAACTCAGCGTAATACAATGTGCTCAATGCAAAATCACCATCCCATGCACGCCACCCAGCAGGATCAACCACATTGTCCATAGTGGTTTGCATATAAACCGTCCTAGAATACTCCTTCCATGGCCTTCCAAGAAATGTTGCAGCCGAACCATTACTTGCAGCCAAATCATCGGCGGCTGTAATGGTACAGTGATGGATTGAAATACCTGTGTCTTGGTTCGGGTCTGTTCGACCTTGTGCAGTGATGGCGTTGAATTGCCCACTCATTGGGAGACGAGGATACAGGTTGCAATTTTGGAGCACAACCTTGGCGTTTCCGAATATGAAATCTACGGTACCGTAGATGTCGCATTCGCTATAGAATTGTCTTAGGGAATGTGCGTATAATGTGTCTTGGTACCCCTCGAAGCTGCAACTGTAAAACGTGGACAAATCTGCTCCATTTCGAACAGCTACTGCTTGATGCTTCTCAGCCCCGGCGGTGTTACGGAATGTTATATTTACACCCACGAATCCTTGCCCGACCACAGCTGCAACATTGACGATATAGTAATCAGATAATGTTCTTGGTAAATGAGTCATTTTCAATTTTTTTTTATTAAATAAAAAAATTGGTCCCTAATAAAATCTTACATGATGAATATTATTATTTAGTTATTTGTTTTTGCGTAAGTTATCGTCCCTAGCTATGCAAAATTAAAATGGTACATTTTTAAGGGATATAATATTCACACTATTATTTTTTTACTATCAAATCATTATCATTCTAATCACTTTTAGATCAAATTTTTCAGGCCAAAAATGGGCTAAAGAGAGAAAAAATAGTTGTTGAAAAGTTTGATCCAAAATTGATTAAGGAGGTAGTGGATTGGTATTAGAAAAAAATAATAATATGAATATCCTACCTCTATTTTTAATGATATTAATGTTTCTCATGTTAAAGAAAAAAAAATTTATCTCTTATACACAAAGTAAAAGTGTGTGGGGCCCATATAGAGTCATGTGAAAAGAAAAAGAAAATATGGATCTCACACACGCTTTTATGTATCTAGGAGATAAAATTATCTCCTCTCATATGACACTAATCCCATTTTTAATATCAGAGTACTTTTCCATTAATTGACAAAGAAATTTTTAAATAAAAGGATGATTTAGTTATGGTAATTATAATAAGTAATGAAAGATTTATTATTACCAAAGGTTGCGGAGCTGAAGGTGGTCCACCCATCGATGACGCTACGATTGCCTGTGATGATTGTCTTGTTGATACCATCTCCTATCATCATCAAATACGTCTTTTTCTTATCAATGGACACATTTTCGTCGTAAACACCGGCGGTGACATAGATCATAAAGTACCCGTCCGTAGAGACAGATTTGTTTGGAGCAGCGGCAATGGCGTCGTTAATTGTGGTGAAGTTTCCACTTCCGTCTTTGCTCACTGTCACAATGTCTCTCACGACAACCTGGTCATCGAGATTGGTCTGAAGGAGCTTCCTACTGGTCACCGACTCGTAGATGGCGCGGGTTCTGGTTGACATCTTAAGGGGCAAACGCCCATTTCGAAATCCAAGTTGTTTCTTGGTTGGGTGCAATGCACTGCCTTTGTTTTTGTTTCTGGGAACCCACCCTTTTGTAAACAAAGCAAGAGAGACACTGTAGAGCTTGTTGTCATCAGAAAGTGGAACAGAGAGTCCATTTCTCAGGCTCCCAGCTGAAGCAGTGTCTTTGAGACCATCCAAGCAGGTTTGTTGGTTGGTTAAAATGGCACTGAGCAATGTTTGTATATCATCAGCTTGCAAACTAGGTAGAAACCTCGTTGTCTTGTTCACTGTCTGGAAAGAACTCGAAAGGAAATCAAAGTTCAGCTCCGCAAGAGTTCGGCAATCTTGGAGTGCACGGACGGCGGTGGCGGAAAGAGTAGAACGACCGTTGAGATATTTATCAACTAAGTTCATGAATTTACGGGCTTGTGATAAAGACTTTTTGACAGAGAATCGACCATAATCGTAGACGTTTCCATTTTGGTGAGGGAGAACAGATTTGCAATAGGATGGGTCTGGAGTTGATTTGCATACGGTTCCAGGAGACACAGGAGTGGTGGGAAGAGTACTATCTGAGAAAGCTATTGAGGCAAATAAGGGTAAGAGGAGAATGAGAACCATTGTTGGGAGAAAATTACATAGCTTGGAAGCCATGTTGGTTTGATAGAGCAAGAGTACTCGTGTTAATTTGTAGGCGTTGAGTATTAATGATTTGGAAACAGGCTTCGTCGGGTTCAATTTATAGCGGATAGGGGGCAACTTTTTAATTTTTTAATTACGTATTTACATATTCAGCTGATAAGAGAAGATAGGATAGTCAACCTAAAAGACTAGGCAATGCGCTTAGAACATGAGACTTCTCGGAAATTGAAATTGAAACTGTGGATTTCCCACTAGGATTTTTATATTTATCTTTTACTAAAGTATGGAGTGGTTAGTGATTTCTAGATTTATTAATTAGACACTCTACCAAATCCGTTGTCCTGACTCTATTTCAAACATTTAATGAACAATGTATAAATACCGACACTAGCCAAATATATATTACCATCGTGGTTGAAAAAGGATGTTGAATTTGACATTAGTACACGTTAGAGCGAAAAAATATATATTATACATTGAGTTAGGTTAGATGGTGAAGGTTTTAATTTTATTAACCAGATTAGGCTGAGTTTAATTTATTATTTACTTGAACCGAACTATGCTTTTTCTTTTTTTAATTTCGGATTGGGTCAACATGATTTACGTACTTATTTGGACCCGCTTGCAATATTAGTATTCTAGAAATGTCATAGACACAATTAGCTTTGACAATAAATACATATATCTTATCCCAAAAAAAATACATATATAAAATTTTCTTCTTGTTTAATGATAAAGTGTTGTTATGGGATCATATCATGAAATGCTCGTATTTTAGAAGATCCAATAAAAGTAACTAAAGGAAAAAATTAATGCAAATAAAAAAAAAAGAATTCGATTCAAATCCTAATGGGACAGTTGTGGATCTGGCATTGGGCCCCGGATAGCCACTAAAAGTCCATAATCCTACTAGCTACATGTTCACTTTATAAATAAGAGATAAATTATATAGGTATTATACACTATTTTTCTCTAATATTGTTATATTGTCAATGTGTATACACCACCTTTTTGACAAACACCGTTACTTTTAATGCACAATAATTTGTTACTCTCAAATATATGTAATTTATAGACGCTTGAGAGAGCTCTTACATCCAAGTGTCTTCTAAACTTCTGATATATATTACAAGGGCTAATGGCCTAATTAAAATTTTAAATAACCTCATTTTGGACCTCAGAATTATGCAAGGCTTTGGAAGTAAATTTGCTTAGTACTTACCAGGTCGCTTTCATATTTTTTTATTTATTTTTTAGTACAGCAGAGCAAAGGGGCAAAGGCCCAAAGAAAAGAAAAGAAGGATTACAAAGGACAGATAGGAGAGTCCACATGAGGACTCATCTCTGCAGGACGCTCAGGGAGTAATATAAACGTCTCCCTTCCAGCGTTAGCAAGTTTAGCCAAGCGATCAGGGAGAGCCTTTTGATGCTGCTGACCAGTTGGTGCTTGCAGCGATCATCATTATCAGACAAAATGGCTTGAATGGCGGTAACTTTCTACACTAATAAAGTCTTTTAACGTGTTTGTATATTTGTGCGAAAAGAAAAGTGGAAGCCAGCGGATCTTTGAAAATGTAAAAAGGAAAGAAACGTATTCTAATTAACGAGTTGCCTGCCTTTGATACCTAACTGTTCGAAAACATGGCAAAGAAAATGTTAATAGAAGGATGAAAGAAAAATCTGAATGTTATCCCAAAAAAAAAAAAAAAAAAATCTGAATTTGATTGAAACGAAAAATGTATGTAATATGACGTTAGTGTACTTATATAAATCAAAGAAAGTGTCCAACTAGCTAGTAATTAACTGTTGATTCAGCAAATTAACTCAACTAATTTTAGTTGATATTAAGTAAACTCTATCTATAATAATGTTAACTAATTCCATAACTCGTATGCCAAGTGTACGATTTTGATTATGAGAATAATGAAATTAGTTAAATGTAACATATATTAGACAAGAAGGCTACATAGTCAACCAAAAGGTTAGCCTAATGATGTGCAGTGTGTAATGTAGTGTGTGTACTATTAGATTCCCATTATAATAAAAAATTAAAAATAAAAAAGCTACATAGTCAATGCTGAAATGTAGCGGAGACTTATAGACTATATATTATTTAATATGGGTCGCCAATTATCCTATTAATATATGCGGACTGGATATCATATCCAGTTAAAAGAATGAGCTGCAATGTGACCTTTTGGTTTGGTGGCCCTTAATTAGTCGATTTTCTTGGGCTTTAGCCGCGTATATTATTTAAAAGTAATGACAAATAATTGTTTCTCCTCCTCCACAAATAATTCGAATTTAAATTTCACATAAAAATATTTAAAAATTCAATATAGGTCTAACATTAAATTATTTTCCAATGGTGATAGCACCGGCATAAGGTTTATTCGGTTATCAAAGTGAGCGTTTTTTTTTTTTTTTAGTAAATTAGGATGTTCCCGTCATGTGGGAAGAAATTAATTTCTTTGTGGGTTAGAGTGAAAAAAAAATTACTATTAACTTTAAAGTATTTTTGGTAATAATCGAATCCATGACTTCATCAATTATCAGAATCCAATCCTTGGGCTGCAGTTATACACCTTGGGATTATCAAAGTGAGCCTTAGCAATCACGGTTTACAGTGTTCGTAAAAAGGTTGGCTTGCTGAGTCTTAGCAAAGGTGATTTTAAATTGGTCACGACTCCCGTGGAAAGTCAACAAATTAAATCCGAAGAGTGTGTCTACTTTTGACCTGAGCGCGAAAACGCGCAAACTGTTCTCTTACCATTTCTATTTGCCAATTCGGTGGGGCATCTAATTAGAGACGTTGAATGGGGCCCTACACGTTGCTGAAATTCTTGAATTTCAATATCTGCCAAATTATGCAAGCTGGAATAATAACAATGAGTCAGAAAACTCACAAGTCATGACGGTTAAGGCTTCACTTACGGGATATACTATATCATTTGTTTGAAAAAATAGACACCCCCTACCCCTGGTGTAACCTTTTGCTTTGAAACGCAACGCGGAAACTAGTAATATTGATATAGAACGCGGGTTAGCTCGTATAAATCTGTGTTTTTTTTTTTTTTTTTTTTTTTTTACTGTTTTCAGTCCGCAAGTGGCACGTATCTACGAAGTTCTTGCTCATCTTCGAATTATCAATTATTTTGATTGTAAGTTTCAGGTAGTTTATGAATTATGATTTCATAAAAGTCAAGATCAGTATTATAAAATGATTTATATGTAAGGCGAGACTCAATTAATTTGCTTATATCAACATCCGATCTAAGTCAAAGAAAGAGGTCATATTTATTCTTTCACTACCAGAAAAACGGGGTTTAGTGAAAAGGAACTTTGTAATAGAAAGCTTTAGAAAATAATTTGGTTATGAAAAAAGTGTGTATCATTTTGAAGTATATAAAACTGTGTCATTTTAAGTCAGAGAAAAAGATAAATCATATGAAAGAGAATAGGTGAGAAAAGTTTTAAAGATATAGGTCTCACCTCTTTGTGATAGTGAAATAATATAAGGTGTGTCCTTTAAAATGACACATCTTTTTCCCTTTGTTCATATAGATATCTAGAATTGCGACAAAAAATTAGTACAACCATTATAATTTGGTGAGTAAATAGTTATAATATTAAAATAATTTTTTTGATTTTTCCTTATAAAGTTGTTGGTTGATGTGTAGAGAATTTTCTTTTTAATATTATAATTATATACTCTCTCAAATACATAGTTATAATAGATCATTCGACCATGTATTCACTGCAATACAATGCTTGTACTAAAGAAATTCTCCATTGTACCCAAAAAAATAAAAAATAAATTTTCCTAGAATAGACGGGGAAAATTTTTTACAGCCTAAAGACTACATATTTAATATCAACATGGCTTGTGCGGTTAAGGGCCTGTTTATATGGGTTCTTTTTTAACCAAAAAATGATTTTTTTTCAAAAAAACAAAACAAAAAACTATTACTATTAAATTCGTTTGGATATTTGCTTTTAAAAAAGGTAGAAGTTACAAAAAAAGTCAAAAATTTATTTTTTTAAAAAAAAATTTAGCTTCTAAAAAAGTAGAAGTCAAAAGTCAAATTTTTTTAAAAAATCTAAATAGTTTTAACATTTATAAAAAACACTTTTAAAATAAGTAAGACATAAAAAATATTTTTTCATAACTCCATCCAAACGGGCCCTAAGATATTTGGATGAGAATGAGACAGATGTTGTTGTGGTTAATATTTTATCTTTTTTTTATAGAGAATTTTTTTATGAATAATTTGGTATTTGATCACTAACAAGCACCAACTCATAAGAACAGGGTAGTATCAAAAAGACAACAAAACTCTTCCTATCAATTTTTAACACAACTATATTTCTATGCAAAAACTTGGAACCGTTGGTTAAGTTGGAATTACCCGTGTCAATTGATCCCCATCATTGATTTTTTATTTTTTTATTTTTATTTTTTAGCATTGAGGCAACTCTGGTTGGGTGGGGAATAAGATTTTCTTTAATTTTATTTTTTTAAGGAGGATCTAACTATAAGGACTAATAATCTACTAATATTACAAAAAAAATAAATACCATTATATATATATAATAAAAAAAAATCAGAATTTATGAAGGATGGCCGCCCGACTCTAACCCCTCCCCGAGTCCGCACTTGCCTACAATGCTCTTCATGGCTTTTGATACCATAGGTAACTACTCTATAATTTTATTTGTATTTTTGTTATCTCATTAAATTTGTTCTTTTACCTCCAACTTTTGTTACATGTTCCGTTATTAGTTATTACTAATCAATTGCAGGTTGAAAAATTAATTTATCATAACATTAAAGCTAAAAATTTCAAAACACATTATGTATTTTACTACTTTAGTACAAATAGAGTAAAATTTTTTATGGGAAAACATTCTATTAATATTGTATCTAGGGTCTTTGGAATAGAATCAACTAGTATATTACCCGTGCGATGCACGGGAAAAAAAGATCAAAAATTTTGTCGTCTGCCGTGATT